CAGAATTTATTTGTAATTAATTGGGTTTTTGGCACACTAGGTTATCTAAAGAAGACTCTTCTTCTATAATTTCTTGTAACAGGGCTTCAGTTATTCGGCTATAATCATTAAGTTTTGTAACGATTATTACGTAGTCACGTGTTGGTGAAATGTGATCTTTGAAGTTTGATTGTTTGATGTAATAAGCGAACAATGGGGTAAGTGACGAAACTGTTTTGTAGTTTAATTGAATTTGGTATATAAGAGATCTGATTATTAATAAAGATTCATCTATTTTACTCTTACAACTTTAAGAATAGTGGATTTTACAAGAATTATGGGCAAGAATAATATGATAAGTCAGATTTTGTTATACTTCAAACGATTTTTATGTTAAAGGAAATATTTATTCAGAGAACAACTTCTACTTAGGTGCTTTCGAAGTTAAGAACTCTTACGAGTTACCTTTTTATTCAGACAAAAGTTAGGTTTTTAAATACTTTTGACCTCTACTGCGTACATAGGCTGTGTTTTCTTATTAAAGCTACTGTTACTATACTAATTTAAATCGGCTAAATTACATGATAGTGGATAGGAAACAAATTTGTATCCGCTTAGACCCTAGATACAAATTTGTTTCTACTCAAGCCTTGAATACAATTTCATATCTGCTTAGACCTTTGGATACGAATTCGTATCGGGTAGGACATTTTACTTATTTAATAAGGTTATTCTTACTTCGAACTTCTATACTAATTAACTAAAAAAAAAATAATAATAATATATAATAATATATAAAAAAAAATAATTGAAATTGATGTCTTCCGAGCCCTTCACAACTCTCCCACCTTTAAGGGCAAGTTCCATGAGTGTCTTACTCCATCAACTACTCATAATCAGCACTAGACAACTTCTTGACCTTATTAATAGTTGTCCAGTTTGTACAGTAAAAATGTTCTACCCACAAGGGTTTGAACAATTGATATAGTTGGAGGGAAGCATCAACGAAGTATCAGGGGACGATATTGCGTATGGCAGTAAATTGGAATTGTCGTGCTTCTTGAAACAAAGCACCTAAGTAGAAAGCATTTACCAAGCTTTTTATTCTTTCTCCTTTATCTAGAGCGAGGAGGGTTGCCTGGTAGGCGGCATCAGCTTTTGTGACAAATTGTTGCTCATCGTAATAGGGACATGGAGTTGGATCGACAGGAAGAACATTAAGGGTGCTCATGTCTATGTGGATTTGTATAGAGGTGTTATTTGGCATTCTTCTTTTTTTTTTTTTTGATCTATAGTTAACTTGCACGAGTACTCCATTATGACAGTTATTTTTTACCACAACAGACTCGAATATCTAAATTATATTGTATGCAACTAAAAAATTACCATCTGCAAGTTTTATATCATTAATTTAATAAATTGAACTTGAGCTGACACTATCTACTATTGACCACATATATTGGGCTTTTGTTGTTATCCTGACTTTAGAAATCCCGATTCCAAAACCCAAACTATGTAGTAATGTTATTAAATCAAAAAAAAAGGATTGTATCGCAACCCTGTTTACTACTTCCTTTCAGTATGGAATATTCTAATACTTTATGTTCATCTAATTTTTTTTTATGGTGGATTTCTTTAAGTATTAGGTTCATTTTTCTTTTAGTATGTAATAAGGAATTGCCTTAATTAATTCCTTATAGAGTGAGTATTCTTAATTTTTACGGGAAATCATAATATTCCTATTCATCAGAAGTATTAATAGTTTGGAGCCATTCATCTTAATCAAGGCTCATGTCCGAAAATTGATTATTGTCTATAGTTTTTTCGAATTCAAGCCTATAAGCTAATTCTTCACAGCTTGGAATTTTAATTAGATGGTCTTCATCTAGATCCATGAGTTGGGGTTCGAATTTGTCCTTGTCATTACTAGCTTCATTTTCTATGTTATAAAATATTTAACTAACCCAAAAAATTTCTCATCCAAATTCTTGGATAATTTGTTGCAATAGGGCTTCATGCTATCTGGCTTGTTCCAGGTAAATATTAAATTCGTCTTCCTTGTCCTATCCTATCCATTGGGTGACGATCCAACTAGTTACTTCCGTAGGTTCTTCGAGAAAGTATTCTTCAGCAATGACCCTAAAGACTTCGATATCTTGAACTAATTCTTTCGATTGGGTTTCTACAGGTTTTTGGTTATATAATTTTTTGCATCTTTCAGCATTCTTTATATCAGCTGCTTTCGGATAATAGCTGATTAATTTTTCTTTTTCTTCCACAGCCCTAGGTAATTCTATGATTATTCTAGATAGTGCATCTGCATTGTTATGTGCTCTACCTGCCCTGTGGATAATAATGAAATAGTAAGGTTGTAATCGTATCCACCAGGCTCTACGTCCTTTCAAGGCTGAACTCTGGAGCCACTTCAAGGCGGAGTAGTTCGTAACGAATGTAAAACAGTTTATAGCCTAAGTAATGGTGGAAATACTCTACCACCCAAACTACTGTGTAACATTCCAGTTCGGTGGCTGCGTAATTTCGTTCAGGTCTGGTTAGGCTTTTGCTGGTGTAAGCTATGGCGTATTCTTTTTCATTTTCATCTTTTTGTGCCAATACCACGCCTAGCCTGATGCCCGATACATCGGTATAAAGATAAAATGGCCTATCAAAATCTGGGTATTTTAAGATTGGTGCCGATATAAGGTAGGTTTTCAACATGTTGAATACTTTTTCTTGGTCCTGGCCCTATTGAAACTCAACACCTTTCTCAAGTAACTTGTGTAGTGGCTTTGCAATGGTAGCGAAATTCTTTATAAAGCGGCAGTAGTAAGAGGCTAGGCCAATAAAGCATCTTAGTTGTCTAAAGTTAACTGGTATAGGGAAGATTTTTACTTTTGCTACTTTATCTTCGTTAGGTTTAATGCCTTCTTTTCCTACTTCATAATCTAAAAATTTTATATTATTTTTAAATAGTTCACACTTTTCAGAGTTTAGTTTCAACCCTGCCATGGCTATTTTGGTAAAGACTTTAGTAAAGTGGGTTAGGTGCTCCTGGTATGTCCTTGAATAAATGATTATATCATCTAAATAAACGGCAATGCATTTGCCTATATCTTCGTATAATATTTGATTCATAGTTCTTTGAAATGTAGCTAGTGCGTTACATAAGCCGAAGGGCATCACGTTAAAGGCATAGATGCCTTGTTTAGTTATAAAGGTGGTCTTTTTCTGATCTTCTTTTTTCATCTTTATTTGCCAGTATCTACTGTCCAAATCCAAGGAGAAAAACTATTGGGCTTTACCAAAGGTTTTTAAGAGGTCGTTGATTCTGGGTAGAGGAAATGTATCCTTTTTTGTTATTGCATTTAATTTCCAATAGTCAATGCATAACCTTCGTTTGCTATTTTTCTTGGGGACTATCACAACCGGTGAAGCCCAAGGACTTTTAATTTCACTTATTAATCTGTTGACTAATAACTTTTTAATCTCTTCATTCAAGAATTCTTGTTCGTTGGGGCAATTCTATAGGCAGATTGTCTAATGGGTTTGGTGTCAGAGGTATCTATTTCATATTGCACTCCCTTATACTGGCCTAGTTGATGCAACCTGCTAGCAAAGAGTTTCTGAAATCTATTTAATATCAGTAATGCTTCTTTTTGTTGTTTTTCATTTAATGTTTCTACTGTTACTAATTTATTTATAATTTTTTTCAAAATGGGTTCGGGTTTATCAGTTATTTTGAGAGTTGGAAGTTCTTCTACTGCTGTTAAGTATACGGCTGGGTTGTCTGCTTCTTCCCTATAATTAGTGGGTGGTTATTCTTCTTCTGATACTGCACCATTGGTGCAGTAACTTTCTACTTCTTCAAGGTCATTTTCTTCTTCATAAAGATCGAAGAAGTCATCTTCGTCCTTTTACGATTCTAAAGGTAATTCGGCTTTTTTATCTTTAGCTTGGTAATTAGGTACTTCAATTTCTTTGCCCAAATATTTTAGAAACAACTTTTTCTCGTCAAAATGTAGGCGAGCACGGACTTTCTGGAACCAGTCCATCCCTAGCAGCATTATTTTGTCCAGGTTTTCAATTACTTGAAAGTCGGTAGGTATCAACGCGGTTTGAATAGCTAATTTTACCCCTAGTACTTTTTCTAACGCTCTTTCTCAGGTTCTATTCACAGTTATTACAACTATGTTGGAAGGTTTGGTTAAGGTGAGGCCTAGCTTTTCAACTAGTTTCATCGATATGATGCTAACGGTGGCCCGGAATCCAAAATTACTAATACCAGGTTGTTTCGGATTCGTACGTAACACTTCGCGGCAGTGGTTTTTTGGCTAGGCTTGCTTTCAACTAGATTAGTTTGTTCATTAGTAACTATAATTGGGTGTCTTAGAGCTTGAGATAGATGTTGCCTTTGTTTTGGGACTTGTAGCAACTGGCTATAAGTTGCGTTGGTATGTGCTTTAAAAGGTCTTCTACTATATTATATGGGGTATTTGATCGATGATAGAAAGTCCCTGTCTATGCCGTTTCCTAGTAACAGCTTTTGTTTGGGGTGGTATAGGTGCTTGAGTAGTTTCTTGGGATACTCCTTCTATGGGGGTAGGTTGTTCTTGTTGATTGGACTGATTTGGTTCGATTGTGACCCTTTTTCTTAACCTATCATCCCAGTTAGGTTTGTTTTCGGTCTTTCTTGTCACTTAATAGTGTAAATTTCTTGTTCAGGTTGATGGGTATAAATATCGCATAGGTTAATATTTCTGTGTTGGGTGTTCTTCCTGGATGGAGCCTCCTGATGTCCTGGCATTCTGTCAGGCAATTTCTAGCAAAGTGGCCTTTCTCGCCACAATTGTAATATATGATATTTCGATTGGTAGGTCATTAGAATTAATAGGGTCTTTGGGGTGGACATGGGTTGGTTTCGGTTCTGGCGGCTAGTGCAGTGGTCAATCTCTCGTAATTAGTGGCCATCAACTGCATTTTCTGGTTAAGTCGTCTAAAAGCAAATTAGCTAGTATATTTTATCCTTCTTATTTTCGTAGTAGCTACCAACTTCTACTCTTTGTGCCTTGGCTATAGCTTCATCTAGCGTCTCGGGGTCTTTGGTAGACATTAGTGCGGCTATCTTCCCTTGAAGACCACCTAGGAACATTCATACTACGTAGGCAGTTAGAATTTGTCCTTCAGAGTCGACTCTTTTTAACAGTCTTTTAAATTTGTAGGCATACCTATCTACTTTTTTATTTTTCTTTTGTTTGAGAGAGTGAAGTTCCAGTTGCCATTGGTGTTTTCGCTCTGGCGTAGCAAAATACTTCGTAAATGCTTGTACAAAGCTATCTTCGGGGTTATCTGCATCATCCCAGAAGAGGAGGGCTTCTTTGTGGTTATTGTACAAGCTGGCTGCAATTCCCACAAGGTGTCTCAACGCAATTTTCATTTTTCTTGTCAGGGTCCAGTTATTTGCATCAGCAGCTCTTTTGAAGGCTTAGACCCATTCAACAAGGTCTTCATCCTCTTTGTCTTTAAAGGTCTTGACGTGGACCCAATTATTTTCATGGGCGTTAGGTCGGACGTCGTGTATTGCAACTTCCCGGAAGGCTTGGTCAATTTCCCTTAGCAAATGTTGCACCTGGTTTTGGTTTACTGGTTCGTCATGATATGCTGGAGGGTTTTCAAGTCTATTTCCGTCGATAGTCCTATTATCTTCGAAAGGACCTAAATCAGACATCTTATCAGGTAGTAGTTACTTTTTTTTTTTTTGGAAAAAATTTTAAAACTAGGTGTATAAAAGAAAATTCAAATATTCAAATAATTTAGGTGGTTTGGAGGTTCGATCTCACAGTCACCACTAGTGTTTAAAATTCAGATCAAAAACTACATGCACAATATGCATGTACTGTATAAATTCTAATGCATATATGAAAAATTTGATGCACATATGTGCATGTAAAAAAAAATTTTTAATGCACAAATATTTTTATAAATTAACATGATTGAATAATTAGTGTAATATCAAATGTATAAAAGTATAAACTCCACATAAGAAATTCAATAAAGTAATTATGAACCTATTTAACAAATGAGTATTTATTTTATTAGTTTGCCTATTTAAAATCAGGCTTTTATTTTCACAACTTTAAACTATTAAATTCAGGAAGTTAACTTGTAGGTTGCTAATAAATATTATAATAAAAGTAACAAACACTGTCTTTTTTTTTTGTATTAATAAATAACCAAGAAAAGACATAACAGATTAATAATAGTTAGTGA